TTGAATACGAATATGGGGAGTGGTAATATTATAATGACTACGTAGACCATGTATGGGAAATCGTGTTAGATTGATGATATGTAGGACAAAAAGGTGGCCAAACCAAAATATATATATAGACAGAACAAGAGGCAGAGGGGGAGAAAAACACATATTATCTGTGTACACTATATTATGTCATGGTGTTAATGACGATCCCTCTGCTGGGATCTCCTCTACCCGTACTCCTAAGTTCGGAAAACTGATCGAGGCTGAGTCGAATTTATAAAATTGACGTAATGGCACGTATTATACAATAATATGGATTTCGGAAATTTTTGTCGAACTTTTTCGATAGGAATAAGAGCCATAATGTTCCTGCGACCGCGATAATGATATTTAGTTGACGTCATTGTTACTGGGTGAAAACTCACATAAAATAAAAGCATATGCTCCTTGACACCGCACTGAATTTTGTTGTTTTCGAATTTTTTTTTATTTTTTTAGATCAAATCGGATTGCGCGCAGATGTAGGTGAATGAATAAAACATTAATGTATATGGTTTTTCTCTGCTCTCTTGACAAAACGATGACGGCTCAGTTATGCTGTACAATTAATGGACCATCACGAGTCCGGCGATGGTGGGTGACTTTGCAACAATCACTGTCAAAGGTTATAATATAGGTTTCTGCGTGTTCCGCTCCAACATTTTCCATCATTACGGAAAGCTCGATTCGACACATTTCCCAATCTCATCACAGTAATAATAATAATAATAATATTATGACCTACAGGATATCGTAAATCTATTACGTCGGTTTATCACAACACGTTGACGACACGCGCGAAATTTATCAAACATTATGTATATTAAAACGGTTAAACCGCGAAAATTAGTAATCTGAACGAATAATTAGTTTAATTAGTTTAATGGGCGAAATCACTATAATATCTAATATAGGGTACTTTTAAACGAAAGTGTATCATATCAACAGTAAACGAAAAATTATTTTAGTTAAATCAAGTGTTTTACGAGGGATAGGTAAAATTAATTAATCGAGGCGTCTGGTCGAGAACTATTTTTCGTCCAAAAAAAAAAATGAATTATAACGGAACAATTAAAGTAGAGTAGAGTGAAGCGATTCTGTTAAATTAAATTTTTTTTATTGAAAAGATGACGATTTCTTACAGGATGCATTAGCCTTGGACTGAGAAAGTTAAATCTCTAAACCCTATACTTTGAATTTAAATATAAAAGATTTATATTATTTTGTAAAAATACTTGTTTTTTGTGATTTTGAAATGCACAATTAAAAATCGAAATCTCACTGCATCCTTAAAGATGTTTTTCTCTTTCCGACAGGTAAAATAATGATCGAGGTCGGATCACTCCGTAGATCTTTTAACATAAAAATGAATTAATTATTTGTTAAGAACTGTTGATTGTAACGAATTAATAATTCATCATTAAAAATATTGAACAATTTGTATAAACGTTAGTTTTACGTAACTGGCTGCAAATATATAAATAGGTTTACACATAATATTACGTGTACACATACATTTTTACATGTGCTATCATGTTTGTTTTGAACTATCGAAGGCACGCAGTTTAAAATTAAAAAAAAAGAATAATAAAAATTGTTGTGCAGCGGTGAATAGTTTTTTTTTTTTTTTTTTTATAATCATCTAAACCCTTGTTACGGGTATAAAATATTATATAATACGCGCGGTCTTTCGATGTACTACCGTGCGTTTATTTGTATTTTAATATTCAATATTTATCTGTATACTTATGACCTATTTATTTTCTCTTCGTATTATTATTATTATTATAAAACACAGACAATTTCGAAAAACTATGAATACAACCTTCTATAAAAGATAAACGAAAACAGTCTATATTTTTCGAAGGAGCTTAACTTAGGTATGTTCTTGTTTTCATTATTATAATTTTTTTTTTTTTTTTTTTTTAATTAAAATTAATAATAACGTTGAGCGTTTTAACAGTATTATTAAACTCGTTACTATAACGCCAAACGCGTTTTCGTGACACGGCGATGCGAACAGAGATCGGTCAAACATTATTTGAGAAAATATTTCCCGTGAAATACATCCTAATTAAACACGTCTCCGGAGAGAAAATCTCATACGCAGTAACGGTCCTTGTTATTTTTGATTTCTTGTAAAATAACCGTAAACACCGGAGATTTTGACGAGATATTTACACTACCTTGCAGTTCTAAATATCGTACAGTTATCAAACGATTTTGAATTAATTACAACTATTGGACATGTTCGAGGTTTTTTATTTCGATCGACTATACTAAAATATAATACATTGAACGAGTGGCGATTATAATTTTTAAGGACCAATTATATGTAGTATTTAAAAAAAAAACGAAATATCTGTACGTCACGTACAGATTATTATCCAAATATTGAAAAAAAAAAAAAAACCACAAAATTACAACGTAGTAATTTTTTTTGAATTGACCGGTTTTAATTAAAAGAACATACTTGATGGTAATATTAATATATTAATGTACACACACAAATAACCCACGAATTAAAAAAATACTACTCACTGGAGTGTTGCAAAATATAATAATTTCACGTTATATAATACGCATGATAACGCACATGAATGGAGGTAATAGCGAAAATGTCTACCGTATTATGAGCAAATTGTAAAAAAAAAAAAAAAAACCGAGTTCAACGAGTTGAATTGATGATTCTATTATGCGGTAGGCATGTAAAAAACTGAAAATGAATAATATTCGTGTCGCGCAAACAATGAACCGCGTGTAATTCGGTAATACACGGTGACGCTATAAAATAAAAATGTCCCGACGAGCGCGGTGTCGACTTATTTTATAATTTAATAACTAACTTTGCTCGTGTGTTGTTTTGTTATTCGCCGTTGAAAAATCCGGGGCTTTGTTGCGACATTGTTTTCGGGAATATTGAACCGAGTAATCAAGCGAATACGTTCGGTTTGTTTGTGTTGAGCACATTATCAACGTCTATTAGCGTTATCAATAACACACTCTTTTTGGTGAGAAAACTCGCTCCGATGGAATAACAAGAGGCGTTTATTCGTTGAATGTTGGTTCTAGTTGGTATATTGAGAGAGGGGTTTTTTTTTGGGGGGGAGGTTTGTAATTCCTCGGAAAAACCGGAAAATAACAATTGGAAGAACGGACAATATCTACGGCACGCCGACGTACCGTGAATATGAAGATTTAAAAAAAAAATCTAACGTTTAGTACCCATATTATTATTATTACACGGTCCGTATGGCCTGACCTTAATCTTGTACTTCCGGATCGAATATTCAAACATAATATCACTACAGAAACTACACCGGACCCGAATCAATCGTCTAAAATTTGTCTGGATTATTGAATTCAATGTCCGGAAACGCTCAAGTAATACGGGCAAGCATACGCTATTCGTGTGATACTGTAATTTAGTACGCGCGATGTAATTATATTCCAGACGCTCGTGGAAATGGAAAAAAACACACGTACGCGCATACATGCACACATATTTTCATCAAAAGCGTTTCGAATCTATTAAAATTCCGAGTTTAGTTTGTAATATACTTACGCGTATAGTGTGCAGGAAGATAATGACGTATACCTACCTAAGTTAATGAACCTTATATATTATGTAAATCGAATTATGGCGTTTTCTCGGCAAAACTTAAATAATTAATTTATTTTATACCGAATTAATTGAATTATAATACACTATAGAGTCGAGCAATAATATTATAATTAAACAACATTTTTCGCACGTTGAAAACTATTCACGTACCTGTTCTTTAAATACGAATCCGTATTAATATTATTCGATAACGGAGATGCGCTTCTATTGTCACCGATATCCACCAATAATATTATAATTAAACAACATTTTTCGCACGTTGAAAACTATTCACGTACCTGTTCTTTAAATACAAAACCGTATTAATATTATTTGATTACGAAGAAGCGCTTTTATTGTCACCGATATCTAAGGGTATTGTGTATAAGAAATTTAAAACGGTTAAAATTGATCGCTTTAACCGTTTTCAAATTTACTGTCGTAAAACTTAAAAATTGTTGTCGTTAAAACAAGTATCATTAAGTATTAATGTCTGATGAGTTTGTTCAAAAACACCATAGGTTAGGTAAAACATATAACCATCACGCGCCATAAAAATGATTTTAGATCTTTTGCTTGTTATAAAAATTAAAAATGTAATTATCTAGGGCATAACAAGTTTAAGTAAAACTTACTCGAATGAGACAACTTATCAATGAGATATTATTTTTTGCAATAACTTAAAAACCTCATTATGTTCTTTTAAAAACGACTAACTAAACGCATGCCCTAAAATCGTGTCATTTATTTTACATCGTAGGCTGCTGTTTGTTAAATTACACTCGATTTTGAAACAAAACGATAATTAGACACGAGATTTAAATAAAAATTAAATTTCTTAAACGTTTACTAAGTATATCTTTGGTCCCAGGAAAAAAGTGCTCAAGTCATTAGAATGTAGTTTCAAATTCAAGTAAATAAAATTCAGAAAATGCTACACGTAAAAATTAAATATCTATATTGCTATTATTTTACGACTAAAATCCGGATTTAATTGCATTTAAAACACACAAAAATTGCATATTAAAATTATATAGCTGCACCGAAAAATACGTAAAAATTGCATAATAAATTGCACTATAAAAATCCAAAAGTAATTTAAAAAAAATTTGATAAATGTTACTTTTTTAAATTAATATTGATAATTAGATACATTTCTAATATATTTTCATTAAAATTACTTAAAATATGTTTGTACCAAGAAAAACTACGCTCAACGTCTACACTATTAGTCGGTGCATATTTAAAACAATTTAATAAAACAGGCGTTGTATCTAAATTAACATTTGCTTTACCTGACATGACTTCATAGTAAGACTTTTAAGTTTTATACCCTTCATTTCTTTCAATCACATACGTACATATTTCTTTAATTTTTATTCCCATTTGGACCAGGAATATTTGTTAAAATATCTTCAAGTTTTCTAAAAATATCCATGCTTTTCGGTAGTTTACTATTAGATTCTTCAAAATTTTCAAGATTCATGGATAACTCGGATAAGTGTAAATTTATAAATGCCAAACCACATTTGACTGCATTATTTTGTACAAGCTGTTTCAGTTTTTCGACACTTGCAACATCACCTGTTAAACTTTCAATCACGTTATTAAACTTTTCAAAATTATTTGCATAGAAAAGCGCAGCATTTAACCATGTTTTCTATTTTGAAATCATAGGTTCAGGTGGTAAAGGTAAACCCAGTATTTCTCTTCTGTATTTATTTATTCTCAAAGATGCTTTTAAGATCTTTTTTTCTAGAAATAAACGAAATAAGTTACATATGTATTTAAATTTTAATTAGTTACTGAATATATTACCATTGTTAATGGCGGGATACAATTTCCTCGAATTTTCTCTAGAACACTATTAACTGCGTGTGTCATACATGCAATGTGAACTAATTTCGGGAAAAATATTTTTGCTACTTTGATCATATAAGTACCGGAATCACTAATAAAAAGTAATACTTTTTGTTCGATACCAGGAAATATTTTTGACGAGGAATTTATAAATTGTCAATTAGTTTCATAATTGGAGGATTCTCGTTTTTTACAGGCAACTAAATATGATTTACTGGGCGTCACATCTAATTTACAAATTAATACATTTGCAATAGCCAAGCCTGAACGAAAATAGTATATTTTATTATATGAAAAATTAAAAAAATTATTTATAAAAACCTCTTGGATCGGTTATTTCGTCAACAGTTATGTAAACGTAATTATTTCCAATATCACTAATTATTTGGTCCATAACGTTTTTATAAATATTTGATATGTAATTTTTTCTTAAAGTTCTTTCGTCCGGAATTGATTTGCCAGTATATTTTTCCAAAAATGATTTTAACACATGATTTCCCAGCTTATGCAAAGGAATATTAACAGCGGCAAATGCATTACATAAATCTTCAAAAAATAAATTTTTCCTATTCGAATGTTGAGAAGTAATCAAACGCTGTTTTTTTTTTTCTTTATTCCTTCGTAATGCATTAATGTGTTGAACTAAAAAAAAAATATACATGTATATTCGAAATAATATGTAGTATGAGCATAAAATGCAAAACTTACTTGTTTCCGAATGATGATCTAATAGACATTTTTGTTCAATAGACACAGATTCGTTACATACGAGACAATATATAATAACCTTTCCATCTGATGAAAATACTCCTTTATTTTCATTACAATTCGAAATTTTACTTTAAATCAATTTTAAGTTGATTTCATTTTAGGCATTACGTCGAACACGTTCGCCGTGCGGTCAAACTGATCAAAGAAATAGGTATTAAGGTGCCAACACGTAAACGCACACGAATCGCTGTACTGCTGCGTTGAATTTAATTAGCGCCGTGTGTAGACGCTTATCGCTCGCTGGGCTCTCCGAGCTTCTAGAAAATTCCAGACGAACGATAAACGACTGTGATTTAAAAACGTGGGAAAATTGCAAACAATTGCGTTTTAAAATTAAATAGGCTGAATAGTTTTAGTACATATTGGCTATATATTTAATCAGATCCGATTTATCTTTATTGCGAAAAAAGTTGCAACATCAATTAAATCCGGTCTTTAATTATGACTCGTGTCTTTTTGCGAAACAAAAAGTACATCGTTATGACTCAAGGAGGTTTTAGTGTTCGGTGTAATTCTTGTTAGAATGCATGAGTTAAACATACGTATATGCGATTTAGATCAAAAAATAAATGGTAACAAATTACAAAGGTTAAAATTAATTTCGTTTTAAAAAATGCAAACATACCTATGCCCTTTTTATCCGGGACTAAAGATAAAAACACATTTTTTTTTTTTTAGTTTAGTAATTAGTTTAATTGAATAATTATTAATCCGACAGGAGGTTTCCGGTACCTACTAGTTTTTGAAAACGTTACATCGATCGTTTGGATGGAGTTTATATATTAAGCTAATATCAGTAAATCGTGATCATTAATATAACCGTGAATGTTAATAATTATTATTGGAATTATCATAAATTATAATTATAGTTTAGCGGGGTGGTATTTTTCGGGAATTAACGTCTTGCTGTAATACATATGACTTTAGTAGAATCCTCTTGCCAACTTTCAGAATATTTTAGTTTTAAAACATTACCTTCGTTCAGTATACCACAATGAATACCGTAGACACATATGGAATTGACATTTTCAAAAAATTAGCAACCAGTGAAAACGTGTGGTTTGAAAAGCAAATATGTTTTTAAAAAAAATCACAGTAAAAAAGTCATTCTGTGTATACCTCTTGTATGTCGCGTTGTATACTCGTCTTTTAACGACGAAAACGTATTTGATTTTTTATCGCGAGCTTAAAAATATTTATTCCCGTTTAATTGAATTCATTCGATATTATATTGCCGTAATTAAATTTATTTTAGAGATTCAAATTGGCAGTTTGATCTGATTATTCGGTTGTCGTATAATATTTATATTTAATTTTTAACTTAAAATGATTTTGAGAAAAATTCGATAAAAGGTGTTTTGATTAGCTTGAATTGACAAATTTATTTGTTTTTAACTGCAAAATAAATTACGATAAAATAATAATAATAAAAAAAAAAAAGTTTAATTCTCATCAATCAGTAATCGTTACGCGAAATACCATGATTTTATACGAAATAAAAAATCGTGACTACGGATTTTTGAGATTTTTGCGGTGCCATAAAAACAACTTACAATGGATCTTTTTTACCAGCTTTTCAATAATTTTTAAGCAGTTAAAACGAATTTGTCCGCGTAAAAAAAAAACTTATAATAATAAAACTCGAAAACGATGGCTATAAATAATTATAATAATCATTACATTTATATAATAATTATGGTGACCGTCGTCATCCTTTTTCGTCATTTAACTTTACTTTACCGAATTAATTGATTAAATTATTAGTTAATTATTATTAATTCAGTTGTGTTAACATAATTCGTTACCATGCACAGCCTTCGTTGGAAATGTAGGAACATTTACCATTATTATTATCGACCCGATTTTTATTAGGACGGGGGATACTAAAAATATCGTAGAAGTCGATTTTTAACATCTCGAGAAAAACTCGATTCGCTATTGTTCACATAAACTACGCACAGCACAATATAGAGGATGATTCACTAAGCGTGCTCACCCCGTTTGGTTAAATTTTGCATTAAAATTATGATTTTTGGAATTTTTAAGTGTAGTTTAAACCGATATTTTCGAATAGGTACCCTCTGGCGTAAGCGACTCGTTAACGATATATTCCACTTTTAAGTATAGGTAGGGGGAGAGTAGTGGAGCACTAATAAAACGTCACGTGCCGTGTCGCCATATATATGATACAACACTACTCTCCCCCTACATTAACTTAAAAGTGGAATATCTTTTTAACGGGTTAACGAAAACTAAACGTTTTAACACCAAAATTTAAAGTATTACTCCGTCTATTCATTGAATTTTTAATGTAGGTTCGCATTTAAAAGTCGGTATCACCTCAAGATACTCTTTAAATGTTACGAAAAATCTAAGTATTCGAAGATATCGGCTTTAACTACATTTAAAAATTCCAAAAATCAAAATTTGAATGCATGCGAATTTCAACCAAACAAATGGGGTGTACACGCTTAGTTAATCACTCTGTATATACCGCTGCCGCGCGATTATTTCGACATTTTAGTGTAATAATTGGATTGTAAACGTTTTGATTAAATTTTCGACTGGGAATCATATAGTATACTACAGTTTTAAAGTATCATTATAATACAATGCAGACACTACACATACATATACACGCATAAACAGCTGTGCAATTTAGAGAAAACCGCCGCGTCTGGCCACGCCTGCGTTTTAAATCACGTTACGCCGGAAAACCCTCGGCGTGACCATCTCGTAGTTTTCGGGAAATTAACTCTAGATCAAGAGGAGGACAGGATGAACGCAATTTAAACTGCATATATAACACTGCGGTCCCTTATGATTTAAAAGACACGAGATATGGGGTCGTTGTTATTGTTGCGTATTTTACCTAGAAATGTAACTCGAAACGCACCATTTAATCGCAAATTATTCGCATCGCTGTTTTATTATACTAATATTATTTGTACGTTCACCTCACGCCGAAAGGAATAAAAATTCGTAAAGTATACGCGCGGTTTAGCCGTGGAACCGTGATATCAGTGCTGTTACTCAATGGCGTCCATGGCGTAGTCGTGTTCGGAGAATGGTCTTATTAGTTCCAGTGGTCAACGAAGAGCGCACTGCACATCTTGTTCTGTATTTTCTGTGCATGCGTAGGATCAACACAGCGGGTTGCAGTAATTTGAAGTCGTATAAATTGTGGGCAAATCATTCTTGTAGGTTTTGGGCTGTTTAAAAATATTTAACATTTTTGGGATTTATTATTTTATTTTTTTTTGATTTATGTGGATAAAATTATTTCGGCCGAATAGGAATTTTCGAAAATTCAACACGAGGTTCATCTTAAATAGTTAGAAAGAAAAAGAAAATAGTTGGGTCCAAATTTGGACGAAAGTCGTAAAAATTACGGTGTTTCAGTTCTTGTTTAACCGAAATTTATTGTATTATTTATTCTCAATGTTTTCATTGCTACTCAGAATTAGTTTGGTGTTCAAAATAGTTTTTCCAGTATATAATATTTTTTTTTTTTTGAAAAGGGAGGCAGAAATATAATGGTAACCTTATGAAATGATAATCGACGATTTTTTCCATATAATAGTCATTGAAATCTATTAATTTTTTTTTGTGTTAATTGATATCATTTGAATTGAAATTTTTAACGGCGAAAATAAACCTTTAAAAGTAATAATTTTACAGGACGTGAATTAAATTTAAATAAAGACAAAATATGAAAATTATATCATTTAGTCTATTATATCTATATAATTACTAAAAATTATTGTAAAATAGAACTGAGAAAGCTGTTTATTTTCAAAAAAATTAATATTTTTCATTTATACTATTATACAGGGTATTTACAATAATAATGCAAATAAGCCAATTGAATGTATAAAAAAATATATGTATATAATACATTTTATTCGATTTGTTCTCTAATTATTTGCTTTTGATTCTTCTGCCACAGAAGTGCATTGTTTGAAGGTTAGGTAGGCTATTGATTTTCGATTTTCTTACGTCGTGTTTGAAATGACAATAATATAAAGTCAGACGTTGGGTAAGGATTGTAGTTCCTGGAAACGATATATACAATGGTCAGTAATAATAAGTCAATGGGATCGTTTGTAGACGAACCTTTATCTAAGGGTCAAATCGCGGAAAACTTGAAAAACAAATCGAAGAATTTTTAAGACCGAAAAAGTATTTTTTAAATATTAAGCGGTCTTTATATCGTTGGATGTATTTTTAGACTTAAGTTTTTTTTACATAATAGTAAACAAATAACCAAGCCAGTATCACCTTAAAATTAGTTCATTATTTTATTAACTAAGCAAGATAATATTTAAAAATTAATTTGAAAATTTGTCATGTATATAGTGGAAAATGTTAAAACTAAGGTTTTTGTCATTTTTTAAAAATAAGTACATAAAACTAGTGGACCATGTGGACACTTATGATTTAAACTCCACTTAAGCCCCCTCTAAAAAAATGTTTTATTTATACAGAGGTTCAAAAAATATTTAAACAATGTGTTCAAGTTTAAAAAAATTTAAATTAACTTAACGTGGTAATTGAAAGAAACACATGAAATTTAAATATAAAATAACATAAAAAAAACTCAAAGATTAGAGTGACTCGTTATACAACGGGTAGGATACTATTTTGGGGAAGATAGAACATAGAGGGAAATTTAATGTATTTACAACGATTAAATTTTGCCAATGAAAAACGATTCTGAGCGGAGTTTGGTTATGTATGTTATGAAAAACCGTAATATTTACGATTACAAAAAATACATTTTTAAATGTTCCCGTTTTCTTAAGTATTTCCCAATTTTTCCTCATTATTTTGAAAACTTCTGAGAAAATCAAAAAATGTCCTTTTTAATTATCATCCTAGTTAAATTTTCTTTCAGAAAAAGTACTACACTTGAAAATCGGAAAAAAATTCTTGTAGAAATATGAATAAAAATAATATTATAATAATAATAATAGAATAGTTGTTCACAGAAAAAGAATAAACATTGTAAAACCTATAAATTTCGTTTTTGGGAGGTGATATGGGGTATTGTATCACGCACTTAAGG